ATAGAAGTTGCCAGAGAAGGAGAGGAGGTAAGAGGAAAAACATTTTAAGCATGAGGGTGTGTGTCATAGAAACTAAGAAGAGTGGCTAAATGTGTCAGATGTGGCTGAGACATCAAAAGGAGGACAGGGGGTGAATGTTGGATTTGGCAGCGTGAAGGTACATTGTCATTATAAATAGTACACTTCTACCATGTGAAAAGAATGTTAGACTAGTATCATGCAGGCGTCTATCATGATGTCTACTATAGGGGAGGAAAAATAATTGTTTCTCTACCCTACTGAGTAATTGGCTGAGGACCAACCCCACCACCACCACCGCTTCCCTGTAATACAGGACAGAATAACAAGAGAAAACCAGAGAGAAGTTAATAAACTTGAACACCTCATGTGTACCTGGGAGATACTCAGAGAAAAATGAGTAACTCCCCAAAGTAGCCTAAGTCACCAGCTTAAACACCATCTTCAGCTAAAGACAAATAAAAGATGTGAGGACACCCATAATGGGGGAGAGGGTTACAGGGAAAAGCACCATACACAAGGATAAGGTTTGTTCTGCAGGTTTAAATCTGCAACTTCACCAGTGATACTCCTGATACCCTTGATTCTCTGGTGTCCTCCTTCTCTTCCTGGTACAGAGAGGAAGACACCCTTACAAATGGAGATTTCCTTTATAAATGGAAACTTCCCTTTCAAATGGGTAACTTTTACTCTTTTCAGAGCTTTTCCTGTGTCTGCTGTTTTTCAATCAGCTCAAAATAATCTATGCCAAAGAGGCATATTTTGGGGTGGCACATCTGCTCACCTTCACTACATTCTAACCCTAGATGGATGAGTGCCTTTGTTTTTTTTTTTGGGGGGGGGGGGATGTAATTTATTATGTTTACAGTTTTATTGATAAAATGAGTGCCTTTTATCTAGTTTCCACAGCTCTAAAAATGGAATAGTGGTATTTCTCTGCCTTTTTGACAAGGTTGTTACGAAGGATATGGAACATAGTGGAAGGAAAAGTATATCGTAAATGGTAAAGTCCTGTACAAATGCAAATTAATAAGTAGAATTATTTGTAATATTAGATTATAAACTGCTTCAGGGTCTGGATTAAGCTTTAATGATCATTGTACCAAGCACAATGCTTAGCATAATACTAGCCAGTATCTTGCGTTTAGTGGTTGCTCAAAAAAAGAAAATAAAAAATGTCTTAAATGAAATAAAGAGGTGGAAAGGAATGATGGTGTCCAGTTCTTTTTCACCTGCAGAATCCCAAGTAGGATTTGGTGACAGGGTTGCTCTTGTGAAAGATTTCAGTGCTGACTCATGCCCTGTATCCCTTTTACAAAGTAATCACTGTGAAGAGAAGTAAAGGACTTGGAGACTGGGCTGCTTTCCATTTGTTATTTCCAAGCGAAACCATTCCCAGAATTTTTCAGATTTTCTCACTTTGGTATACAGACAGAATTTCTGAAATCAGTTTTTCTTCTAGGAGAGCAAATTTATGAAATTGTGTATCACCACACGGGCATATTTTAGCTGGTGAAAAATTGTGTTATGATAAATGGTAAATGTCCAGTTTTTTTGCCTTTTTTTTATCTTTGGCTTTTTCTGTGTGTTGTACAGGTGTTGAGCCTTCTGAAATATACACAGTTTAGTACCTTGCTGCAAATAGAATATAAGTAAGTGACCTTTGCAAAGCGTGTATTCTTAGCAAGTCTGGCATGAGTCTGTTTTATTTAGGCAAGAGAGACTAGAAAACAAAAATCTAACTTTTATTCTGTGCTGAGAAATAAAGAGAATTGTCTTATTTCTGCAGCTCTCAAACAGGATGTTCAACACTCTTAGAAATCAAACAAATAGGGACTTCCCTGGTGGCAGGTGGTTAAGAATTTGCCTTCCAATGCAGGGGACACGGGTTCGAGCCCTGGTCCAGGAAGATCCCACGTGGCACGGAGCAACTAAGCCCATGTGCCACAACTACTGAACCTGTGCTCTAGAGCCTGCGAGCCTCACCTACTGACGCCCATGCGCCTAGAGCCCATGCTCCACAACAAGAGAAGCCACTGCAATGAGAATCCCGCACACTGCAACGAAGAGTAGCCCCCACTAGCTGCAACTAGAAAAAGCCCACGCGCAGCAACAAAGACCCAACGCAGCCAAAAATAAATAAATTAATTAATTTTAAAAATCAAACAAATATGATATTCTCAGAGGTAAAATCAGAATATGTAGGTAGCATTACATACAACCCTTTTGTTTGTAAAAAGCAAGTAGAATAAGTCAGAAATGCATTAATTCTTTCAGGTCTATTGACAGCAAAATGGACCTGAGGGTTGAAAGATTTACTGTCACTTCTTAGCAAGTAAGAGGTTGTTGTGTGGCTAATGTGAATGCTAATACTTAAGTAGCATAAGAAGGAGCCTGGGAAGGGGAGCATCTCACTTTTAAAATCCTGCTGTATCCTGTAAGTGTCAGCTGCAAAGTAATTTTCTAGAAATGGTCTGATTTCCCCACTGACTTCCATTGTGAAACTAGAGCTGTGTTCCCACGGAAAATAAATTTGGCCCCAGGTTATGATAAAACACACTGAAGAATTCAGAAAATTTTATAAAATCCAGCATTTCAAGACACAGTTATCAGTACCTGATAAAATAATACTATCACAAAATATGAATACACTGTAGTAGATCTTAAAGTAGCACACCCCAAACTGTGCTATTATTCTTTTTTTTAACAAGTCCAAGTCTAGTACCTTTACATTTAAAGACATTTTACTTCTGTGATCATTATTGATTTTTAATAGACTTAATTGTAAAAGGTAGATTTGCTTTCCTTTATATTCTTCATGGTTAGTCTACTTACCTTTTTGTGAAGCATTCTTTTTTTGTGTGGCACGCGGGCCTCTCACTGTCGTGGCCTCTCCCGTTGCAGAGCACAGCCTCTGGACGCGCAGGCTCAGTGGACATGGCTCACAGGCCTAGCCGCTCCGCGGCATGTGGGATCTTCCAAGACTGGGGCATGAACCCGTGTCCCCTGCATCGGCAGGCAGACTTTCAACCACTGTGCCACCAGGGAAGCCCTTTTTCTGAAGCATTCTTATCAATTAACATTCAAAAGCTTTCAGCCATAGAAGAAAGACCAGAAGGAAATGTCCCAAAAAGTTCACAACACTGAGTTGTTGGAAAGTTTAGTTTACTTACGTTTTTATATTTCTAAGTCACCTAAAGAGATAATTTTCTATATCTGTATCTTCTATAATCAGGAATAAAGTCGATAATTTCTTTCTATAAATTTACACATAATGAGATACATTTAGTCAGACACATTTACATACCTGGTTCATTTTATGTTTGGTAGTAGTGGTAGTTGTTATCACTTTTTTGATAAAAATTTTAAAACAGTGATGTAATTAATTTTGGGATAAATAATTTTCTGGAGTATACTGCTGAAAGTGTAGTCCTGGTGTTACCGAACCAAACTTGGGTCCTCTGGCCATGCACAGTAAAGCCAATCTACTGGCACCAGGTTGTGGTGAAGGAAAGTGCAGCATTTATTATAGGCGCCAGACAAGGAGACTGGGTGTGGGTGGCTTGTGCTCAAAAGCTCCAAACTCCCAGAGGGTTTCAGGGAAGAATTTTTAAAGACCAGGTGAGGGAGGGGCGTTGCAGTGTATGTGATCACCTTGTGCACAGTTCTCTGATTGGCTGGTGGTGAGGTAACAGGGTGGTGTCACAGGGGTTAACACTGTCAATCCTCAGGCTCCAGTAGGCCTGCAGGGCTATGTGCTCAAGGTCACCAAGTAGTTAACCTCTTCCATTTGGTGGGGGTTTTAGCATCTGTAAAACAACTGAGGAAATGTGCATCAGATACTGTTATCTAAGCACTTAGAAAGGAGCTAAAGGAGAAGATATGGAGGAGGGGTCTGTCATGGGAAGGCCTCATTGGGTCCTGCTGGGTTACACTGGACTGGCAGCCTCAGTATCATCTGGGAACTTGTTAGAAATTATAATCCTCAGGCCCATTGGCTCAGACTCAGCAAACAGCATTTGGGTTTGAACAAGCCCTTTGGGCAATTAAGGTTCTAGAGCTACAGCAGAATCTCTCTCCACCTCTCTCTCCCCTCTCGGTCCTTCCCTCTCCAAAGCTCTTCCTCTCCTCCCTTCTTTTTCTCTCTCCCTCTTTTTCCCCTCCTCATGTGGTATATATGTGTATATGTATATATACACACATATAGATACATAACCTATATATAGAATTCACTGTAACCTCTCCATCTATATAGAATATGTATTAAAAAAAGAAAATATATACTTTTTTTTCCCCTAAGTTTTTCATTGCTGTTTGTTTCTACCCTATCTCCCTCCTAAAAAGATATGAGGCAGTTTTCTGGTGTTTATACTTCTGTGTTTTCACTTAGCAAACATGTTTTAGCAAATATGTTCTTCATGGTCATACATTAAATAGTTCTGCCTCATTTATAGATTTTCACAGCTCACTGACCAATATAATGACTCCAGCAAGTTGTTATGGGCTGAATTGTGCCCCCCCCCCTTCATGTGTTGAAGCCCTAACCCTCAAAACTTCCAAAATGTGACTGTACTTGGAGATAGGACATTTAGAGAGGTAATTAAGTTAAAATGAGGTCCTTAGGGTGGGCCCTAATCCAATATAACCAGTGTCCTCAAAGGAAGTGGCGATTAGGACACAGACAACACGGACAGAGGGACCACCAGGTAAGGACACAGGGAGAAGGCAGCCATCTTCAAGCCAAGGAAAGAGGCCACAGAAGAAAGCAAATTTGCTGACACCTCGATATTGTATTGCTAGCCTGCAAAATTGTGAGAAAACAAATTTCCGTTTTTTAAGTTACCTGATCTGTGGTATTTTGTCGTGGCAACCCGAGCAAAGTAATGCAGAAGTGTTTACGGAAATAATGTTATAATTCAGTCTTAACATCTAGTGATTGCCTTTGAGGTACTATTAGATCATGTTCCTTAACAGAAAGCTACAGCTTTACAAAGGGTGCCAGAGAACAGTATGAAAAACTACTCACCATGCACAACAACATGATAAAGCTCTATGAGAATCTGGGAGAATACTTTATTTTTGACTCTAAGACAGTGAGCATAGAAGAATTTTTCGGTGATCTCAGCAACTTCCAAACTTTGTTCCTGGTAAGTAATATGTCTTAAAGCCTTGCAAGGCCTGTTGCTTTTGTTTTTAAGTAATTTCTTCCATAGGCATTTTATTTTACATACCTACTGACCATATTGATTTCATGTTATAGCCCTTTAACAGGAATTGACAGATATTTTATACCTGTGACATGGATTAAAAATTGTTGGCTGGCTTAATGTATAATGGGAACCTAAATGAATTATCTTCAACTTTAGGAACACATGGGAATTTTACTGCTGAAATTTTATAGAAAATGAATGAATTGGTACTCAAATGACCCTGATTTTTTGTACAGCATAATATTATAATTTGACCTAGATTAAAAATTAACATCTAAAATCATCTTTTACTCAATACACTAAAATGCTGTGACTGATTAATAAGTTTCTTTCATAGTCTAGATGAGAAGCTGATTCTAAATTGGACTCTATATCAATAAATGACCTGGAATATGATGCTAGAGGGAAGCAAAAGCTTTGTTGTATAAATGCTGTGGGAATATTTCTCTGCATCCAGTGAAGGCATAGAAGAGCACAGTCTCCGATTATGATAGTAACAGAAAGATATGCACAATAGTTGATATCAAACAGGTAAAAGTCCCTTTATGTTAAAGAAGGAATTCTAGCAATTAACCCCAGCAGGAAGATCAATCAACAAACTAATTCATTGTAGTTAGAGGTATGTTTCTATCCCCAAAGCAATCCTTCGCTAAATAAGACTCTCTCTCTTAATTGATGGTGTTGCTCCATGAAATCATTTGATTTTGGTGTGATTTGCACAGTCTATGAAATACAAATATACTTGTGGAAAGCACTTGCTTTCATCTACTGATTTAGGACAGACAACCGAGAGTACACCCTGGCTTTGATAATAGAAGCTAAACCAGAAACTTTCATAAATATGATCATTTGTGTTATTTTTTGCTGAGAATATTAGCTGATTTTTGTCTTAGGTCTCTGCCTCTTAATAGACACACATATTTAACTTTTTAGCTGGTCAATAAGTAGCAAAATATATTCTACTGGCAATGAGTGGCTTTTTCAAAACTTAGACATTAGGAACACACCCAGGTTATACTTACTTGGATAATTTTCAAAAAGAAAAAAAAAAATGTATGTTGAAAAGGGACGGGGACTAGAAAATACACTTCAGTTGACACGGAAAAGATAAATCCAATGATATTCTTTTTTGGTAGCATCAATGTCTATGGGTTAATAGAGATAAATAAATATAATTAATATTGTCAATCTCTATGAAAAAGGACCTTGTTTTTAACATAAATGGGATCCTAAAACACTGCCTGTCATATTATGTGCCCCCTACCTCCCCAATACGTGGACATAGAGTAGAATTTGCTGTACTTCTCTCACGTTGTAGCATTTGTTTAATTATAATTCCTGTGTGACAGCCTATGTTTAGTCCTGTTAGCCAGATGCTTAGAAGCCTTGCCAAGAACTATACTTGTGTTATTTCTCAGTCATAGCTTTGTTTTAAAAAGGTAAGGATATTATTGTTAAGAAGAACTGATTCTATGTCCTGGTGCTCTCACAAACAAGCTATGTGATTAGGTAAGTCATGTATCTTTCCAGCTAGTTAGCTAGTTAGTTAGTTAGGAAATGGTGGGATTACACTACTGATCTCAAAGAACTTCTTTAGAGTCTATGAGTCATGGTGGGAATTTCAGAGAGTCATTTGTATTCCATACATAAACAGTATATATCTTTTTGTCTACTGGCTTCACTGTGGGTGTAGCTTGAGTACAGGGAAATTATTTGTCACAAATCATTCTCATTGTAAATAAGTTGACATTCTGAAGCCCGGTTGTGTGTGCATTTAAGTTAACTTCTTGAGAACCTGCTAAGAGTTTGGGAGCTTTCAAAACAGGTGACCAGCTCCTACACTGTGTCTTGGCCAGCCATTGCCACCTGTCCTACAGAATACTACTGCTACCACTTCGGTTTACCAATACTTTTAGACTTGCTGTCATGAGAAGTAGTGTGCAACTTTTTAGCTGTTTCGAACTTGAGTTGGTCACATAACCTCTCTGGGCGTTAAGTTTCCTCATTTTTAAAATATGAGTGATAATTCCTGCCATGGCTTCCTCACCACGATGTGAAAACACCTCATAACCTATGTTGTGCAGATGGAGAGTATTATTAGCCATTCTCTGCCTGTCCATTCAATTATTACTTATTGAGAACCAACTTGATTTTGGTAATGCTTTAGTCCAGAGACAAAAGGAAGAGAATGGTTTCTATCCATGAGTGGAGGGCAACAGACAAATGCAATATAGTTTGGTAAGTGCTGCCATAGGAATATGTCAGGGTGCTATAGTAATACAAAAGAGGGGCTGCCTAACCCTGCCTGAGCTGGCCAGAGAAGCCTTCATGGGGAAAGTGACATTTAGACAGTCTGGAAAAATCCATAGGACTTTGACAAGCTGACTTTGACAAGTAGGTTTAAGGGTTTTACACCTGACCTATAAGCCGAAGACTCCTAAATCAACAGCACCAACTTCAGTCAATCATCTATGCTCACCATGTCCCTGTTTCATAGTGAGCTTAAAGTGATTTCACTCTCCCAGGGGAGGGAAGAACCTTGAAAGAGAGACAAAAGTTGTCATCGCCACAAGTTCCCATTTTCTTAGTGCTTTGTGTGTTTGGCCCCAGGGTTCTTGGCGCTTAAAAGCATATTGGACTATAGATGGAAGCAATAAAATACCAGTAGTGCTGAGAAGAAAATAAGAGTTCTGATTCATGTGCTACCAAAAATTACTTCCAAATGAGCTCAGAGTTTCATCTTGGGAGATCTACTTGGCATGTGTAGCATAAACAAAATACAGATACCAAAATAATCTTCCTGAAAGAGACAACCTCTAAAAGATGGGGCAAATGTAAATAAACAAAAAGGGTTGACATTATGGATTAAGACCTTTTTCAAAATAATCACATTCAAATGAATGAAAGCAAAATTGGGCAATCTCTATGAGATGCTGCTCTATAAGTTATTCCTTATCATTCATATTACATATTACTCAACTAATAAGGATATTGAAGATGTTCAGTTGAATGCCCTGTATATTGTCATGAAGATATATGTAATTGGAAACATTTCTAAATTCAGAATTAAGACTCTCTTTCTAGTTAGCTTCTCTGAGAGCAAGAGAGTTTTAAAAACTGCTTATAATATAGGCAAGGTTAATTAATAATCCCTAAATTTAAGTTGAATATTTTGTAGAAGAAAAATTCCAGATTTACATAATATCAAAACATCTCTTTTGCTTATTCTCCTTTATGCTTCAGTCATTTGACTAGTTCAAATAGTTGACTGCACAGTCTTTTTTCTTTCAAGATATTTGGAATAGAATGTTCAAAATCAGTGAACCTTGTGTGTTTCACCACCATGCAGCATCTTGCTTAGGCATAAAAATTATTTTCAGCCGTTGGGAAAGTGTTTGAGGCAAGTATTATATACTTCAATAACTTTCATAGCTCCAAATAAATTATAGAAAATATTTCTTTTCTCTTTTAAATCTGTCAGTTTCCTGCTGCTTCTGTGTGTTTTTGTTTTGTTTTTTAAAGAACAATCTGTTACCCAGGCACTCAGTAAATATTTGTTGTGTGAGCGTCCTCATTCTATATCTTATATACTAGAAATAGAGGAACAAGGCTTTATAGGATTATTAGATCCATTGGCCTAACTTAAGAAGAAAATGTTACCATTACTGTTAATCAGGCTAGCAGACCTCCCCTCAACAAAATAAGTGTTTGCTACTGTTCATTTGATAACTAAACTTTAAGAATTTTTTTAAAAAAATCGAGACTTTAACAATTTTTCAACAGCTCTTAGATGAGCGTTAAAATGGCTAAGTGTTAGGAGGCTAAGTGATATCTATAAATCATGGCGTTTTATGCCATTGTTCAGTCTTGTTGCTTCTACCTCCTAAATATTTTTGGACTTCACTCATTTCTCTCCAAGCCCACTTACGCTACTTTAGTTCTGGGCCCCTGCCATCTCTCAGCTGGACTATTAATTACAATGATGTCCTGACTGGTCTCTCTGCCTACTTCTCCTACCATTTCTAACTTCTAATCCATTCCCCACATTATAGTCAGAGTAAAAGTTAAAAAACCAAACAAACAAGATAATGTTACTTTCCTAACTTATGATTCTTTAATGACTTGTGTCCTCAGGATAAAATCTAAACTGTTGAAAATTAATGTGGTTTACAAAATCAAAAGAACTAAGATTACTTAAAGCCCGGACCATCCTAAGGTTGGCTGAATAAGCCATAATCACTTGAACTCTCCTTCCAGACTGGGAAAAGTCAAGTATTGACAGTGGAGGCAGCAGAACAAAACAGCAGTAAGTGCCTAAGAGGACCTGAGCCTCTTACAACAGAGAGAAACTTTGGGAGCACAGTATCCAAGGCTCAGTAAATGAAGGCTTGGAGGCAAATGTGTGATTGTCACCTTGTGTTAATTGCTCCCTAGCTAGTGCAGCATGGAGAGTTATGGCAACCAAGGTCGCTCTTATCTTAATTCTTAGTTAGGGATGTTCTTCCTTCTGTCTTAAGTAATTGTTCTTTTAAAATCTAACCTTATCTGAAAGCTCCTTGTAGCCATTTTGGCTTATGGAGATACTTAATTTTGAGAAGCTCTCATTTTCCTCAAGCCATCTTCCTCTTTACAAGGACTCAATCATGTCTAAACCTAAACTATAATTGGAAAGCAAGGTGAGCATCTGCATCTGCACTCAAAGGCTAAATTGATAATATAGAGAACATTTTATTCATTCATTAAAGGCAATTTGCCTTTAAAGAAATGAGGATGAATTTTTGCATAAAAAGACTGTGTATATGATTCCTGATCCAAGAACACTAAGTTATTTTGAAACATTTTTAAGCCTTCAATTCACGAAGCACTTGACATTTAAAGGAAACTTTAGTACAGTATTGTAAAAATGGTGGACTTATGTTAGAAACCAAATATGTTCT